AAAAAAAAAAAAAAAAACAAAACAAAACGATGTATCATTCCCTTTTTTTTATGAAGGTGGTATAAAAACTATAGCAGTTATACACCATCGCATCCGTCTAGCGGTGTAGACTGAAGATACTACTGACTAGTGCCCAAAAACTATATTGTCTGTATTTATATATAGGCGCGTCTTGTAAGTCGCATATAAATAAACTCCAAATTCAATTGTCCTGTAGTTCGTAATGAATAGTTTTGTTTTTTATTATTCACATTTTAGTTATCTCTTGACTTGTCCGGTGGACGGATGCCAGGTTAGATTACCGAGGAAATAACGATAGGAAATTCAGTACTCTGTGTCAATAACACTAACACTATATTATTGTTGTTCACAAATCATCAAATTGTTGTATTGTATATTAATGTGCGTATGAACACTCAGCTAATACACGCATATGATATGTTTATATATATATATATAATATAGTAAAATACATAAAAAATAAAAATAAAGGATCGCATCTGGACCATATTTTTTTGCTATTTTTTTCTACGTATAAGTTACAGACTACATTTGTATGTGTCTTTCAGAAAACAAGATTGGCGATCGATTGTGGAAGAACACATGGTAGTGGAACGACGGCGGCTGCTAAAACAAACGAGTACGTAAAACATTCACTAGCACTACAACATATTGGGTGAGTCTGAATACTGAATACCTAACCTAACCTACATACAAAAAAATAAAATACATAATAAAAATCTATAAAAGTATATGGGGTTATATATTTTCTGGGAAACATTCAATACCTATATGTACAAATATAAATATATATGTTAGTTCAATCGTAATACAAAAATAGTACCTAATATAATCGATTTGTTTGGAACGGGTGTTTTATATTCCATTCAAGATTTCATTAAGAGTAGTGTAATAGCATTTTGGCTAGATATCAATAACCTCAAAGCACATGTCCAAATAGCTTGTAAACTTAACTTACTGTATGTATACATTTTAATTTTGTCGAACTTAATGAGTTCTTTTATAACACTTTCATGCTTGGTTCGATTCCATTAGTTTTATTTTCGGATAATAAGAAAATATCAAAATAGAAGCCACTATAATTTACCAATTCAGTAATCAACCACATAACATTTTAATTGTAATGTAGTCAATATTTGGACTGAATATACACTAGAATTTATTTAAACATTTATAACATTTCTAATATTTCTATTTTTTAATTAAGGAAGAACATTTTTTTATAATAATTCAACATAATTTATATTTTATGTATAGAACACAAATTTATATAAACTAAACCGATGAAATACAATTTACAATGATAATTATATTAAAAAAATTTATTTTAATGTTTTTATCGTAGTCAAAACGAAGAAAAAATTGGAATAATGCAATGTGCATTCGAAGAACCATCGACCATGAAGGTATTAAAAAAACACTTTTTTTTTTTATTAATCTTAAGCCCGGCGACTAAGGTCATAAGCTGTTGTAGGGGTTATGAACTGTTTTATAAGGTTTTGGTACGGTAGGTTGTTTTTACGGTTATTATGGTAGGTAGCAAACACGTGTATGTGTGGTAAGGTTTTTAAATACTATATGAACCCGGGTGGTCACCCATCTAGTAGCTGTGGCCGTTACTTACTCCCAGTTGCATTTCACGATTGGTAGCAGCCAACGCGCCACGCCAAGCCACAAAACACTTTTATTATGCACTTTAATTATGTATTATTTTGATTTTAGTGCTTTGTTTTTATTAACAGTTTAGAATAATATAATTTTCAGATAAAAATGTTATAATAAGAGATAAAAATCTTTGTGTTTGTTTTGTATTTGTATGGTATATTATATTTTAAATGCAACCACAAATTCATGATAAATAATAACAAAAAGATAAATTTCCAAAGACACTGGAGGTTTTCATTGTTTAAATGAGAACAAATACCAAGGGAACTGATATTAGCTGTTTTATAAAATTTTTGAGATTTATAGATCCGGGATGATTACTATGAACTACGTTGAACTATAAATACGCAATTTTAATGTATCGTAACTTATTTTTTTTTTGTTTTACGATCTTTTCCGCCAATTTTCCTACACCGTTACCTACACTAGTTGCACATATATATGTAAGGTCAATACATCTATACAAATAATACACTTCATACTAATGGATATTATTATGAATAACAAAATATGTAATAATACGTTTCTGTATACTCAAATTTCTTTGAAATCCATCAAAACATTTTTCATTACTCTGGTTTTACAAATTCATATTCATAATATATTATTATAATTATCTTTAAAGATAAATCTCTATAATTAAAKTTATGAAAAACGTCATTACAAGCGTATGTGTATTGTGTAATTAATAATACATAATATTTTCAGTTTAATAAAAGTTATACGTCAAGTAAACAACAAATGAAGAGTTATGAAATCCATCAAGAAGGTATTAAAAAAACATTGAAAGATATTATTACAGAAATTGAAGAAAAAGGAGACTTATATTATATTCCCCCTTCCAATAAAACGGTACTTAACACTTTTTTTAACTATGTAAAACACTGTACCTAATTGTCATTTTACTACTTATAATATCTAAAAATACATTTTTTTTTTTTAATACTTACTTTTATTGGTAGGATGATGAATATCGATCTTTTATTGAAACAAAAGATCAAAGTTCAGTATCAGAAGAATTGACATGGGACAATAGACAATTTATATGTCTATGGAATGACTTAAAAGTAAATACCTGCATATTATGAACTTAATATTATTATTACCATTAATATAATAACKAAATAGTAATCTAATCTAAACTTTACATATGATTTTTAAAGATTGGAGAGCAATCCTTTCCATACAATGAAGACTCCAATAATAAAAAAGAAGTAAGTTATTTTAAATATAAAATACATAAACAAATTTATAACATTGTATTTTCGCTGCATAAACTATGATCGTTWGTTTGCAATAAATGTTTATAATAATTAGACGATATTTGAAATTTAAATCAACAATTAAAATGGTACAATAATATTAAATGTATTGTTAACTGCCAAATATTTAGATGCATTACGAAAAAAAAAAACCAAACCAAACTTCTTAAATTAAATTAAAAATAGTACATAAAATACAATAAAATACATAGATTTCAACGTATTTAAAAATAAACTACTTCATAAATAGTATCATTGTATGTATATCAACTAATTAGTCTGATAATATTTCACATTTTCAAGACTGTTTTAGAATTAAAATTATCAATAAATTATATCATTATCGTAAACTTGATCAGAATCGAAATCTGAGTAGTGGTACCTATTGTATTTGGCCCGTGGTAGTATGGTATTTTAAGATCACACCCGTTTTCCTGGTTCATTTCCAACATATTTGCACGCAAGGCGATATTTGAATACAGTCTAAGGTAACGACTATCCTATCGAACTCGCTCTCTAGTTTGGTCGTATCAAGCGTCCAGTCACGCTGCTGTCGTCAATAAAACGTAAGCGCCTTTTTGTTGATTTTTACCTGGAACTTCAGTTTTTTTTTTTTTGTTTTATGTAGATGATTTATTAAATTGTTTGTTATCGACCTTACGTCATTGATTGAAATCGAGTTTGAAATCCTACCCTCTGTAGCTTATAGATTCCCACCAGTTAATATTATTTCGCGCCTGATGGACCCAAGCCAAAGGGTCAATTCGCAGAAGAGCCGTAGCAATATTGTGTCTGAAAGAGGCTTCAGGCCTTCTGACCGATATGACTCGACGAAAAAAGAATTCTTAACTAGTCTATCTCAAAAAATCTGGCGAGCGTCATTGGTAAGTGGTTTATTAAAGCTGGCGCGTGTATAATTTAAAAATCTTGTATTTTGTAACTGAGCTGAATAGTTTTTATTATGTATATAAATTGTAATCGTAAAACATAAATGTATATCATAACTAGCCAAAAAAAATCAACAATAATATAAACTAATTGAAATATTTTTTCCTAAACCGAATTATATTGTACATACAAATAATAATTTCATCCCCTTGTTTTAGAAATAATATTAATTTATTTGACGATCATAATAGGTTACATATTTTAAAATAGATATGTTTTTGTGCTGGTTATACATTTT